GCCACTGTTGGTAGACAGGATACTGGGCTAGATGGACCTTTGGTCTGACCCAGTACGGCCGTTCTTATGTTCTTATAAGAACATAAGAACAGGGTCAGACCAAAGGTCCATCTAGCCTGTATACTGTCTTCCAATGGTGGCCAATGCCAAACCCAGTCACTCTCTGCTTCAGGACTTGATGACCTCTGTGTGGCTTGAAAGCTTGTCTCTCCCACCAAAAGAAGTGAAAGTTATTACCTCACTCTCCTTGTGTCTCCAATGTCCTTTTGTCTAATTAATTTTTTTTAAAATCAGCGTTTTATCTCAGAATGATTAACCATGAAATTGGTAGAAATGTGTAAGTGAGGAAGGCCAAAGAAGAACTAGAAGAAGGCACAGAGAGAATATTAAATGTTCTGGCATCACCTAAGAAGAAGTACCACAATTAGCAAGTACCCTTAATCAACAGGAGAATTCAACTGTTTTATGTGTCATCCCCTCAGAAGGAACAAAGGTCTTCTGAGATTAACTTATTAAGCAGGGGTGTAGCTGTGTTAGTCTATAACTTAAAAAAAAACAACATAAAAAACAATGAATGGTCCTGTAGCACCTTAGGCTATGTCTACACTGCATGCTTTTTTCGAAATAGCTCATGTTAACTCATACCAACAAAGTGTGGGTATGTCTACACAACAGCATTATTTTGGAATATCCCACATTATTCCAAAATAATAAAGAGTATGTCTACGCTGAAAGCCATTATATTGAAATAATGTTGAGCTGGAAGACTTCTTACTCTGACTCCTGTAACCCTCATTTTATGAGGAGTAAGGAAAGTCGAAGGAAGAGTGTTCTTCCTTTGACTTCCTGCTATGTAGATAGTGCCAAAAGCTGAATTAAGCTATTTTAACTTAAGCTACACAATTGATGTAGCACATGTTGCATAGCGTAATTCGACTTTTTCCCCTGCTGTGTAGACGTGCCATGAGAGTTTACACAGCAAGCCTGTTATTTCGAAATAATTTCAAAATAACAGGCTTCTTACTCTGACTTCTGTAACCCTCATTTTATGAGGAGTAAGGAAAGTCGAAGGAAGAGTGTTCTTCCTTCGACTTCCTGATGTGTAGACAGTGCCAAAAGTTGAGTTAATCTATTTCGACTTCAGCTACGCAGTTGCGTATCTTAACCTGACTTTGTCCTGCAGTGTAGATGTACCCTTAGAGACTCTAAGCCAGTGGTCCCCAACCATTTAGAGCTGCTGGGTGCCAGGGGGTGGAGCCGTTCGCCTGCCGGGCGCCAAAGGGCGGGGACAGTCGTGCTTCCGGGGGCGGGACCGCGCATACGCCACACCCACATGAGCCACGTGCCTGGGGCCAGCAACCCCATGCGCTGCGTGGCCATGGGCGGGGCCGCCCAAGCACCGCAAGCCTGGGACCAGCGTCCTCCAGAGCCGCATGCCCACAGCCGGCACCCTCCATAGCTGCGCGCCGGGGGGCAAGAAGGCCAATTCGCCCCGCGCCCAGGGCCAGCGCCCCCCAGAGCCATGCGCCTGGGGGCGGGGTGGCCAATTTGCCACGTGCCTGAGGCCAGGGCGGCCAATTCACAGTGCTCCCAGGACTGGTGCTCCCCATGTGCCACTCACCCAGGGCACAGGCGGCCAATTCGCCACATGCCTGGGGCCGGCACTCCCCATGCACCATGCGCCCGGGGCTGGCGCCGCATATGTGCAGCGCGCCTAAGGCTGGCAGCGTGCATGCGCCACGTGCCCAGGGAGGGGCAAGCCCCGAGCACTTGGCGGGCGCACAGAAATGCCCCTGTGGGCGCCATGGCCCCTGTGGGCACCATGTTGGGGACCACTGCTCTAAGCCCTGGTGTACACTAGGGTGTTACTTTGAAATAACCCCCCTTAAGTCGAATTTATAAGCAGAGCATTCTCACTACCAAACTCGTTATTTTGAAATAATGGCCCACTTATTTTGAAAACTGTACTCCTGCTTTCCTTGGGGAATAACGCTAATTTTGAAATAGTTGTTTTGAAATAACATTAGTGTGAATGCTGTGGTGCTGCTGTTTTGAACTAACTACTCCCCAGAATAATTCAGACTAATTACTCCCCCGTGCTTCCTGGAACTCTAAGTCGAGGTAGTGCATCCACATTAATGGAGGCTGCCTCAGACTAATTTCAAGGCTTCCTATAGCCCATGGGAAATATTATTTTGATTTTTTAAAATCAGGAGTTAAGTCGAATTTAATTATTTCAAAATAATTTCCTAGTGTGGACATGCTTTAAGGTGCTACAGGACCACTCATTTTTTTAATGGTTTTTATTAACCAGGGGTCTATTTACCATACATAGGGTTAAATGAATCAGCTTTCAGCCCATGACATGGTTGTCTCACTACACAGAAAAGTTCCTCAAATTATATCCCACTTTGAAAACAAAAGAATTCGTTATCAAAACTGACAAACTTCATCCATCCAGTCTTTAGAGCATGGCAATTTAATTTTACCCTGTATGGTATCTTATAGGCCACATGACTCATGCTTACCTGTATATATGGGTACTCTGTTATCAACTCATTCTTCTCATTGTAAGTAAAAACTGGGAGATCTGGAGCTAAGAACATTCTGAAAATAAAAAGATTGTTTTTTAAAAAATTAAAAATTCAAAAGCAAGGAACCTTTACGACAAATATAGACCATGCAATATAATGCTTGATAAAAAATTTGTGATAGTCAGTCTTTAGGTTATAACTAGTTTTGATGTTAAGGAACATTTTTTTAAAGTGGTGATGTTTTTTTGTCAGCTAAAAACTGCAAAACTACCTTAAATTAGTTAAAAATGCTTTGAGAGGAATTCAGCAAGTATTGCAAGAGGATGTGTCTGAGACAAGCAGAACACCAAATGACACAAATATGAGCAGCTGGCACTTAGGCATAGTTTACAAAAAGGGGAATTTTAGCATTAAGGTTTAATTCAGCAGGCCTATTGGACAGTGAAGATCATGGTACACCTGGATTATGTGATTGGTCCTCCTCCTAGCTTTACCCTAAGTAACAGGCCATTGTTTAGTTTAGCAGTTCTCTGACTGTAAGCCAAGACCCCAAAGTGACTGGTGACCACTTTGTGGGAACATTTTTTAAAGTGGGATTGCTGAATCTGTTGACTCTCACTTCTGGCTGAGGTCAAGAGCAAAGCCTTGGCATGCAGGGCCAGCAGGCAGGACCCCAGCACATAGGGCAGGAAGCAGAGCTCTCAGCACATGAGATGAAAGCTGGGACCCTGGGTATGGGGCTGGCACACAGGACTAGCAGCAGAATCCCTGTATGCAGAGTGGCATCTGGGAACCGGGCACATGGGGGAGCTGGCAGTAGAGCCCTCAGACATGGGATCAGCAAATGGGACTCTGGATGGTAGGCTGGGATCCTGGAGGGGCTTCAGCACCCCTGGCACTAATAGTTCCCAAGCTTATGGTGACCTCATTATAATGGAGTTGCCAGAGCTGACTTAGACTTGGTGGGACCCAAGGCCACAGTAAAAGCCTGAGTATCACCACATCCTGAAATGATTAGGGGTTTGAAACAGGTGCCATATGAAAATAATTTAAAAGACGGGGACTTTTCAGCTTGGAAAAGAGGAGACTAAGGGGGGATATGATAGAGGTCTATAAAATCATGACTGGTATGGTGCAGTTTACACAGCAGGAAGTCTGAGAAAGAGTACTCTTCCTCTGACTTCCCCTACTCCTCATAAAATGAAAGTTACAGGAGTCGGAGTAAGAAGTTCTCCCGCTCAACATTATTTTGACATAACTGCTCGTTGTGTAGTCGTGGACTATGTTATAAATAACATTACTGTGTAGACGCACACAGAATGACATATTCAGTGTTCCCATATGGGCCAGTGGTATAAGGAATAGAATACCAAATCCAGTGCCTTATCTATTGGGTGTCATTCACACATTTCTTAATTAAACTCAAGACCACCTCATTACACAGTTCTGTATTATGGTAGACATGGCACAGAGAGAGAGAGAGAGAGAGAGAGAGATGTATGAACTTTTCATAAATGATAGATCTGAGAGACCTGCATCACTGAAAGGAGCATGTTTAGTTGGAGCTTTTCTGTTACTGACAAGGTCTCCAGCACTGAAGGACCATCACTGTCTGAACTTGTCAGTTCCTGCCCTTGCAGTTGGCAAATTTGAAGCTGACATGCTAAAAACAAATCCAGTTTCCATGGTTCCAAAGCTGCACAGAAAGTGCTCCACCAACTTGGAGCTAGACTAATGCATTAAAGGCTTCTATATCTCCCCAGCAATGGTCTTGAGATAACTGGACCTATGAATTTACCCGTTATGAGTGCAACTACAAAAAATTTGTCACAATAATTTATAGCAATAAATGGTAAAAAAAAATTGCAAAAGGATACTGTAATGACTCTAGATGTGGACTCCACAGAGACCTCTTTTTAAGAAGATTGCAAAAGCTCAGCAACACAGGGAGACACAAATCTTATTTGTACTGATACAGACAACCTCATAGAAGAGCCTCCTGTTCTGAGTTCTCATACAGTTAACACTAGCAGACTTATATGGCATTGCCCCAATTCTTCAAGGCAGGGGATTGGCCATGTGGGAGGTACAGTACTCAGGGCATGACCACAGGAATGTAGTGCAGAAGGGGTGAAAGAGTGAGGATTAGGTGTGAGGAGGGACTCAGAGTGGGGGGGTCCCATCTGACAGAGGGCCCCCCACCATCAGGGGCCTTTTTTCTCCCCTCAGCCTCCACTGACCACCAGGAACCCTTCCCCCCCCCCCCCCCACACACACACATACACACAGCTGCCAGGGGATTTTTTCTTCCCTCTCTGGTGCTGTGGCCAAGGGCTAAGAAGGAGGAAAAGGGTTTCAGGCAGGGAGGATACTTAGCGATTTGTTGGCAGGCATAACAAAGCACCATCTCTGCTGGCCACTGACTTGGTGGTACAGCTGCCTGAAGTGGACACTTTGCAGGATAGCTCTCTCCTGCAAGCTTGCTGCCCCCAGTGGTGCCACTCATATTGTGTTCCTCCAAACAGCAGCTCTTCCCTTTCCATGTTATAGAAAACAGTTCTTTTCCTGGGGCTTCCAGGTGCCCTGGCACAACCAAACCTTGACCTTGCTTTAAATTAAGAGAAGAGGAAGTTTCTTACCAAATTTGGGGGTCCTAGCTCTTAGTGTTTAGGAGGAATCCTTGAACAAATGGACTTGCTGACAGACACAGACAGATGCACTCTGATAGATATAGATGTACTGTCCAGTGTACCTAAAATCCTTCTGAAATATTCACATGGATTGTTTTGCTCTTGGCAAAGTTAGTAAGCACGAAATCAAGTATATAGTGAAAACGTAGTTTTAACTTCAAGACACAGAGATTTTTGTCTCTTCCTAATTATTACTGCTCTAAATAATGTGTCCTATATGTGTGCAGTTTTCTTTGCATCTCATCTTCAACTTTTTAACCACTTCATTTATTTCTCCATATCTAACTTGACAGCTTCTGGGGGATTGGAGCTTATGGCCCCATGTATACATATTTTGGTATAAAAAGAGCAGATGAAAGGTTTGGAAGAGAAGAGTCACTTACTTTTTCTGTAGTAGGTGAACAATATGGAGCTTTCCTTCTACTTTAATTAGATAAGACACCTTTTCCTAGAGCATTCAAATAAAAAGTATAAATCAACAGTACTCCCTATCAATCAATCCCTATAGAGTATTCCATTTTATAAAAGTTGTATTAATACATTTCCTCAGATTGGGTTCAGAGAAGATTTTTTTCTCTGCTTTTATCAAAGGACTCTATAGTAGTAAAGTTTCCAAAATACTTCCCAAAGTTGCCAATACCAATCCAGCTACATCACCATGAACAGAATTATGATCCACAATTTAAACCAATTTTAAATGGTCTCAACAGTATTTAACACCATAGCAGTCTTACCTGCTCAAAATAAGTTTAGTCTATAGTGTGAAAAATGCTGGCTTCCCAGAATTACTAAAATTGGGGTAGCTCAATCAGTGTTAGCAAAAATGGGAAACATTTAGGGTATGTCTACACAGCAGGGCTAAAGTTGGAATAAGCTACACAACTTGAGTTACATCAATTGTGTAGCTTAAATCGAAATAGCTTATTTCAGCTTTTTGCACTGTCTACACAGCAGGAAGTCGAAGTTGAAGTCTTTCTTTGACTTCCTTTACTCCTCATGAAATGAGGATTACAGGATTCAAAGTAAGAAGTCCTCCAACTCGACATTATTTCGAAATCAAGGCTGGCAGTGTAGACGCACACTACGTTATTTCAGAATTATGAACGTTATTCCAGGGCATGTCTACTCTACCATGTAACATCAGCACAACTGCACGGATGCAGCTGCCCTGATGTAGTATTTTACATGAAGACATGCTATGCTGATGGGAGAACACTCTCCTGTCAGTATAAATAGTCCACCTCTGTGAGGGTATGTCTACAATGCACTCTAAATTCGAAATAAGATACGCAATTTGCGCTATGCAAATTGCATATGTTATTTCGATTTTATTTCGAAATAGGCTATTTCAAAATTTGGCAGGTCTACACAGCGCCAACTTTCAAAATAAAGTACTATTTCGAGACATCCCTTATTCCTTGTGGAATGAGGCTTACAGGGATGCCAATAGCACATCTGTTATTTCAAATATTATTTCAAAATAGCAGACGCATTCTTTGGATGCAAGGTAGCTATTTCAGGATACCTTCAATATCCCAAAATAGTCTTGCAGTCTAGCTGCACCCTGAGAAACAGAAGATATGATGGCATGGAGTGGACACCGCTTTAAGTTGATGTAACTTACATCACTCAGGGGAATATTATGTTCACACACCTAAACGACATGCTACATTGGTAGCATACATCAGCCCTTGGGAGGGAGTTGTTCCCTGGGAGTCAAACATGAACATAGAAGGCTGAAATTCAGTTTGCAGTACTCAGTTCATTTTTGGCTTTTTGTTTGTTTTACTTTTTGCTTAAAATTTGGGACATAAAACTTGACTTGCATTTTTCTAGGCTCATAAAATTCTTGTAGAATAATTCAAATGAAAAGATATATTACGAATGTCAAATTTTAAATAAACTATTCAAACATAGGTCAAGTTCTATACCTCACATATCAAGCAAAGTTATCTTTCAAAGGATGTACAGCATGAACTTATAATCTTAATACTATATGAGGAATTCAAGACAGACTATCAATAAAATCAGAATGCCAGAACTATTTCTCAGGGGTTCTAAATCAGCCCGGACAAATGGGCTATTTCCACCTACCAGAAGCTACAGACAAGAATAGTTTTATGATGGCATGATTAATATTTAAAATTGGGATTTGCCAGCTCACCAAGGTACTTTCCTAATTTACAGGAATGTGATGAGGATAAATATTTTAATACTATTTGCTTTAACTATTATCAAATGATAAATGTTCTTAATGCAGACCCAGTTCCACTCAGAAAAATGTCAGGTGCAGTTATACGGGCAACAACAAACAATGCAGCATTAAGGATCATCAAGCCTTGTGCCTCAGAGGAGAACCAAACCACTAGTAGCTCAAGATTAGGGAACAATTTTTAGCTTTATACTTCATTATAGAGGTGGTTACACTCTCTGCTAAAGCATGTGGTACTGCAAATTACCAAAGACAAGATTCATAGATCCCTAGTCTGATTCAGCATATTAATTCCAAATTTCTTGGAAAGTAGTACTACCTTGGTATCTATGCCATTCCTTGGTTCTAGCTTTCTTGGCACTATTACTTCAGAGTAAGATAATTTCAAAGTCTCAGAAAAACCTAGAAAGAGAAATAGATTCAAATATGTTAAATAGGATATAAGTTAACCATTACTGTAATATGTACTTCTGGATTCTGACACTGCAAATCATTTTATACAGAAATCACTCAGTACAACGGGCGGAACAATTCCAGGAGGAGGAACAATTCCAAGGACAACAATGAAGTCTGCTTCTAAGCTACCAAATCAAAAGATCATTTGACTGCACATCCAGTAATTTGATCTGCCATCAAATGACAGCTATATATATTGGACAAACTGGATAGTCCCTACGAGATAGAATCAATGGACATAAATCAGATATACGTAAAGGGAACATACAGAAACCTGTTGGGGAACATTTTAATCTACCTAATCACTGTTTAAAAGATCTTCAAGTGGTTGTCTTGTCACAAACCAATTCGACTAGCCAAATACACAGAGAGGCATTAGAATTACAGTTCATTCCACTTGAATTCAATTCTCATGCTAATGGCCTCAATCATGATGAGGGCTGGTTGAGACACTATCAATCATCAACCTAACATTCAATGAAGGTGGAAACAGCTCTTCGTGTAGGTTCCTGTTGTTGCCTTTGATTCTTATCTGCTTTAACTACCCAATCTTCAGGTGCTTACTATTCCCAGTTCTGCCTTCCTGTTCCATACCCTCTGCTCCTTGTTTCCCACCCCCCTCCTTTTTTTCCTTTCCCCCTTCCTCCTCCCCTATTTATTTTGGGTCTGCACATCCTAAACTCAAAACTCTGGTATGAAGAAGTAGGCTGTGCCCACGAAAGCTAATGATACCATCTACGTGTTTTGTTAGTCTATAATGTGCTACCAGACTATTTGTTGTTTTTAAGTTTATCCTGTACAGTCTAATTTGGCTACCCCCTGACGCTTCTGAATTCAGTGTCGGCCAAACTATTTGATCAGCTTAGATACAGAGAGAACACAGAGTAGCATTACTATACCTTTGGTTCTCTTTTCCAACCCAAACACAATGCTATCAGGCCCCTTCCATTCTTTTTCCATCACCCTGATTTTCCAGCCACCTATGCTGTATTCCTTAATCAGTAGGCTCTCTCTTCCAAGCAAACACTGAACCCCTCGACCAGAGTATACTCTCCCTGGTCCACCTTGCCCATCGTATCCAATTTAATTCTTCTAATATACCCCACTTTATGCCCTGCTCTTCTGTCCCTCTCCTGTATCATACAACACTCAACCATGGTTAGCCCCATATTCCCATTGCTGCATTGTACTCTTCAATGAGCCCTATGTTGGATACTTCTTTTCACTGCCTGTCCTCCATCTTCTTGCAAGCCACAACCATTCCCTAAATGGGAACAACTATGCTCTGCAACATCAATAGACCCCCATTTCATTGTATCTACTATTGCATACCACACTCAGTAAGCTACACTCCCCACTCCCTGTTCCATTCACAGCAAACCTCTCCTCTGATCAACATTTGTTCCCCTTATTCAGGGTCCAAATCCCCTTATTGAGCTATATTCTCTCCTCCATTTTCTGCAATCCCAAATATTCCCTTATCAATGGGACTGTCTTCCTTTGCATAGCCCCTCCAAAACTCCATGGAGCAAGGCTCATTTCCTTCTCCCTGTTCCATCCCTCATAAATATCTAATCTAGGTCCATTGTCTACCCCACAGTTACTAACCCTTTCCTGCTACACCACTCTGGCATCATCTTCAGCAGGCTGCACTCCTCTTTCTCCTGTGTCCATGTGCCCAAGCTTTCATCAGCTGAGCCAGGTTCCTGCTCCACTGCCAAAACTGTTCCCACATCAAAACCCGTTTTAATGGTCCCTACTATATACTTCATTGCTACACAAGCAATGTTTCTCTCTCTCTTTTCCTCTTTGTTCCACAAATTTGCCTCCACCTTGGCAGGCCTCAGTGCCCTTCTCCCCCCCTCCCATGTCCATCCTTTGATGGGCACCAGAGCAGGTAGAGTGAATCCAGTTTGAGGGTGCTCCGGTGTACTGGCACTTCTACCTTCACTCCCACAAAAATCCTTCCAAATCTCCCAAAAATGCAATGGTTTTGGCACCTGTTTGCCTACTGCCCACCTCTGAATGTCACCTGGCAGACCCCTTTCCATACCTCCTCCAGTCTTCCCTTTCACCCCTACTCCATACTAGTCATGCTTCTCCTCCCTGTTCTGGCCTTGTTTTCTTTCACACACACCTTGACTCCAGGCTCCCCCTTCTTTATAGGGCCCCTGACCTGCAAGCATAGCCCTAAACACCTCCACCCATGGCATCCCTGTCTGATTCACTCCCTGCCTCACCTAGGCTCCGCAGCAGCAGAAGCAGGGCCCAGAGCTGCAGCCCCATCCCTTGAAGCTCCTCACAGACACCAGGCAAGGATGTGCTGAGACAACACCTCCTTCCCCCTCCGCTCTACTGCCCTAGTGCCAGACCCACCCCTGCCTTTTCCTGTCAACTGCCTCCCTGCCAGCCCCGCCCACTCTGCTTCTGTGACCTCAGTGCCAGCCCCACCCCTCCCCACACTGCCTGAGTGCCAGCCCCCCTCCCTGCCAACTGGCTCCCTGCCATCCCTTTCCCTCTGCTTCTATTACTTCAGTGCCAGACCCACTGCCAGACTTCCTCCCCAACAGCCTCACTGACAGACCCCCCCCCCCCCGGTTGCACTACCTCAGAGACAGCCCTGCTCCTCTCCCACTGCCTCAGTGCCAGCCCCCCCCCTTCCCTGCCTACTGCCTCACTGCCAGCCCCTCCCCTTCCCTACCAACTGCCTCAGTGCCGGCCCCTCCCTTCCCTGCCAACTGCCTCCCTGCCAGCCCCGCCCCATCCCTGCCAACTGCCTCCCTGCCAGCCCCGCCCCATCCCTGCCAACTGCCTCCCTGCCAGCCCCGCCCCATCCCTGCCAACTGCCTCCCTGCCAGCCCCGCCCCATCCCTGCCAACTGCCTCCCTGCCAGCCCCGCCCCATCCCTGCCAACTGCCTCCCTGCCAGCCCCGCCCCATCCCTGCCAACTGCCTCCCTGCCAGCCCCGCCCCATCCCTGCCAACTGCCTCCCTGCCAGCCCCGCCCCATCCCTGCCAACTGCCTCCCTGCCAGCCCCGCCCCATCCCTGCCAACTGCCTCCCTGCCAGCCCCGCCCCATCCCTGCCAACTGCCTCCCTGCCAGCCCCGCCCCATCCCTGCCAACTGCCTCCCTGCCAGCCCCGCCCCATCCCTGCCAACTGCCTCCCTGCCAGCCCCGCCCCATCCCTGCCAACTGCCTCCCTGCCAGCCCCGCCCCATCCCTGCCAACTGCCTCCCTGCCAGCCCCGCCCCATCCCTGCCAACTGCCTCCCTGCCAGCCCCGCCCCATCCCTGCCAACTGCCTCCCTGCCAGCCCCGCCCCATCCCTGCCAACTGCCTCCCTGCCAGCCCCGCCCCATCCCTGCCAACTGCCTCCCTGCCAGCCCCGCCCCATCCCTGCCAACTGCCTCCCTGCCAGCCCCGCCCCATCCCTGCCAACTGCCTCCCTGCCAGCCCCGCCCCATCCCTGCCAACTGCCTCCCTGCCAGCCCCGCCCCATCCCTGCCAACTGCCTCCCTGCCAGCCCCGCCCCATCCCTGCCAACTGCCTCCCTGCCAGCCCCGCCCCATCCCTGCCAACTGCCTCCCTGCCAGCCCCGCCCCATCCCTGCCAACTGCCTCCCTGCCAGCCCCGCCCCATCCCTGCCAACTGCCTCCCTGCCAGCCCCGCCCCATCCCTGCCAACTGCCTCCCTGCCAGCCCCGCCCCATCCCTGCCAACTGCCTCCCTGCCAGCCCCGCCCCATCCCTGCCAACTGCCTCCCTGCCAGCCCCGCCCCATCCCTGCCAACTGCCTCCCTGCCAGCCCCGCCCCATCCCTGCCAACTGCCTCAGCGCCAACCCTGCCTGTCTTGCTTCTATTATCTCAGAGACAGCTTCACCCCTTTGGTCCTATTACCTCAGAGGCAGCCCCACTTCTCTCCCACTGCCTCACTGCAAGCTCCTCCCCCTGCTTCTACGACCTCAGTGCCAGCTCTTCCCCCACCCTGCCAAACCCACCCTCTCTGCTATTATTACCGCAGGCCAGCCTTCCCTACTCCCACTGCCTCAGTGACAGCCCCACTCCCTCTGCTCAACCTTCACCTTTTCCTGTTCCTCAAACCCTCTCACCCCATGCCTGATCCTGACATTTGCCATGTCTCACTTACCTTGCTCCATGAACAAAATTCCTGCTCCACATGTCTAACTTCCCCCAAACATACCTCGGTAGCCCCCATTGCTCCCTCCTAGATTGGCTCCCATGTGAATCCTCCTCAGTCAGACTCATTGCCCTCTCTGCTTGCTCCACCATTACCATAGTAAGTCCCATTTCTTTCCCTCCCCTTCCATCCTCTCCCATTTAACTCCAACACCTCTCCTAAATCTCCTTAGCTGCCCCTCACAGCAGGCCCTAGCAGGGTGACCAGGTGTCTGTTTTTCAAACAGAACACGTTTGAAAAGGGTCCCTGGCAGCTCCAGTCAGCATGCATACTGGGCTGTTAAAAGTCCATGGTGATGCAGGCAATACTTCCTGCCTGCCTTGGCTCCAAACAGCTCTGAAAGTGGCAGACATGTCTCTGCAGGTGTAGGGGCAATCAGAAAGCTGGTGCCAACTCTGCAGCTCCCATTGTCTGGGAACTGCGGTGAATGGTAGTTGCAAGGGCGGTGCCTGTGCCTATGGGCAGCATGTAGAACTTCTGGCCCCTCCACCTAGGAGATGGACATGCTGGCCTCTTGTGGAGCCATATAGAGAAAAGGAAGGCAAGGAACTTGCCTTAGTCCCAAGCACGCAAAAACTCTGCCCCAGGTTGGAATCTCCTAATGAAACTTAACCCACTCCCAGAGCCTGCATTCTTACCTCCTAGCCCCGCCCTGTGTCCCCTCCTCCACTTCAGCCCCCTGCTCCTGTCCTGAGTCCCCTCCCAGGTATAATTTAGGAGGACCCCAGAGTTGGAAGATGGTTTTGTCCATCTCTAGTCATAAAGACCACATGCAGAATATGACCTGCTTAGCTGATCCACCAATGTGTTCTGCTGCTGTGGAAGCTGAACAGTTCTGAGAAGAAACAATTTAGTTATTCCTCCTCCCCTCCCACACACAAACTCACTCCAAGAACCTGCACTCCAGTCCTGAGTCTCCTCTCTGAGCCTGCCCACTACAACCCCTCCTGCATTCAACCCCCCTGCACCAGTCCTAAACCCCCTCCTGCACTCCAAACCCTTCCTTACCAGCCTAACTCCAGAGCCTACACCCCCATCTTGGTACCAGCACCCCATATCTTCTAGGAGACAAAAGCAGCTTTGGTGTCTTAGTGTGAGAGTATGCTTTTAGCAATAGCATTAAACCCTATCATGTTTTTAACCTGTATTGGAGTAACGAAGGCTAGACTTTTATGAAATGTAAAATGGCTAATACACTGTAGTCTCTGTACTGATTTTAGAATTGATTCGTCCCAGTTTACTAGGAGTTCCAGTGCATCCAATGTAGATAGGATGGTGAATATGCTGGATAACACCTGAGACCCTCTACAATCTCTAGGGATCATCTAGGGATAGAAACACACAACTTTATAATTTTCTTAGAAATGCTGCCACCATTGCCATGTACTTTGTGAATACTTTAGAAGCAGCTGATAGACCAAATGGTAGCTCTATGAGCTGATAACAGAAGAGAGATAAGGGGTAGAAATAAACTAGAGAGCATATCATGATTCCACTGTGTTTGAAACCCACTTTCCAGAGTTAATTGGGCCCAAAGCCGTAGGAAATCGATAAGCAGTTTGTAAACAAAAGGTAGGAACCAGAGGAAACTACAGGATCTGATACATGATGACTCTCAATCAACTCATGAAAATGCATTTTTAATAAGGCAACTGGAAAGGATGAGCACAATGATGCTGAAGAAGAGCAGTGAGAAATTGTCTCCTGTAACTCCTGTCCTTTCTCCTTTTTGGATCCTTAGAACAAGGAGAAAATACCTGGTGTCTGTATGGCTGCTGTAGAGGGAACTGTTTCCTTCTTGTTGCTAGAATATAGATTCCAAGTGATTTTAATGTTGCCCTGGAATCTTTGGGCTATGAAGGCTACTACCCAAAAACAAAGAGGAACCTTCAAAAAGAGGTCCTTGAATGGTGTGCTGGACATCTGGGGGGAGCCCAGATGACTGCAACTATGAACATCTCACAGGAATAGTTGACACCATGTTTGAGCAGACATGTCTATGCCATCTAAGCTGTTCTGGAGAGCAGGTCTAGCAGCCAAGTTGGCCTCTTGCACAATTACTGCAAACACCTGCCCATAATGCTTTGGTAATTACATATTTACATTTTATAACATTTTTCCCAGAAAGTGAAGTCCTAGTGACTCAGG